GTTGTGTTTTCATTTTCATTGACTTCCAGGAATCTTTTAATTTCCTTTTTTATTTTATTAATGACCCATTGTTCATTAAGCAATGAGTTGTTCAGTTTCCAGCTGTTTGCATGTTTTTTGTCTTTAATTTTGTTGTAGAGTTCTAGTTTTAATGCATTGTGATCAGATAGAGTGCATGGTATAATATCTATTTTCTTATATTTGCTGAGGCTTGCTTTGTGCCCTAGGGTATGATCTATTTTGGAAAAGGTTCTGTGGGCTGCTGAGGAAAATGTATATTGTGTAGAAGTTGGATGAAATGTTCTGTAGACATCAACTAGGTCCATTTGATCTATGGTATGTTTTAGATCTAGGATTTCTTTATTGATTTTTTGTTTGGATGACCTATCTATTGATGATAATGGGGTGTTAAAGTCTCCCACTACCACTATGTTGGAGTTAATATATGCTTTTAGGTCCTTCATGGTATGTTTGATGAAATTGGGTTCTTTGACATTGGGTGCATATAGGTTGATAATTGTTATTTCCTTTTGGTCTATTTCCCCTTTTATTAGCATGGAATGTCCTTTTTTATCTCGTTTGATCAATGTAGGTTTGAAGTCTACTTTGTCCGAGATAAGTATTGCTACTCCTGCCTGTTTTCGGGGGCCATTGGCTTGGTAAATCTTCTTCCAGCCTTTCATCCTAAGCCTATGCTTATTTCTGTCAGTGACATGGGTCTCCTGTAAGCAACAAATTGTTGGATCTTCCTTTTTAATCCAGTTTGTCAAACGGTGCATTTTGATGGGGGAGTTATGTCCATTAACATTAAGTGTTAGTACTGATAGGTATGTGGTGATTCCTGTCACTTAGTTGTCTTAGTTGTTTGAGGGTTTGATTGTGTGTAGCTAAATTGATGTTACTCTCTACTTTCTTGCTTTTTCTTTTCCTGTAGTTTGGTACTGTCTGCCCTTTCATGGTTATGTTGGGTTTCACTTTCTGTGTGCAGAATCCCTTGAAGAATCTTTTGCAGTGGTGGCTTTGTGGTCATATATTGTTTTAGTTTCTGCTTATCATGGAAGACTTTTATTGCTCCATCTATTTTGAATGATAGTTGTGCTGGGTAGAGTATCCTAGGATTGAAGTTATTTTCATTCAGTGCCCAGAAGACCCCACCCCACGTTCTTCTTGCTTTTAATGTTTCTGTTGAGAAGTCTGCTGTGATTTTGATGGGTTTACCTTTGTATGTTATTTGTTTTTTCTCTCTAGTCTTTCTCTAGTCTCTATACTTATTGTTTTTATGATAATATGTTGTGGGGTAGTTCTATTTTGGTCAGGTCTGTTTGGTGTTCTGGAGGCTTCCTGCACCTGTATGGGCATAGTTTTCTCTAGATTTGGGAAATTTTCTGTTATTATTTTGTTGAATATATTACACATTCCTTTTGCTTGCACCTCTTCTCCTTCTTCAATGTCCATGATTCTCAGGTTTGGTCTGTTGATGGAATCAGTAAGTTCTTGCATTTTTTCCACAGGTCTTGAGTTCTTTAACTAATACTTCTTTGGTTTTTCCTTTAATTACCATTTTATCTTCAAGTTCTGAGATTCTGTCTTCTGCTTGTTCTAGTCTGCTGGATTGGCCTTCTATTTTGTTTTGCATTTCTGTTTCATTCTTTTTTCTGAGGTTTTCCATATCCTGAGTTTCTTCCTCTTTAATATTGTCTATTTTCATCCTGAGTTCATTTAGCTCTTTATTTACCATGTTCTTTGTTTCACTTTGGTGTTATACCATGCTTCTATAGTTTCTTGGAATTTCTTGAGTGTCTCCTGTACATTTTGTTTGACCATATCCAGTATCATCTCTATAAAATTCTCATTGATTATTTGCAGGATTTCTTTCAGGGTGCCCTTATGGGCTTCACTGGGTTCTTTGGCATAGTTTATCTTCACTTTGTTGGAGTCTGGATCTGGGCATCTGTTTTCTTCATTTCCCTCTGGTTCCTGTACTAACTTATTATTGGGGAAAATGGTTTCCCTCTTTTTTCTGTCTTCCCATCATTGCCCTTGCTACTGTTACTGTCCCTGTACTGTGTGTAATTCAGTAGTGTCTAGCTTATAATAGTAACAATGATGATATCTACAATGGAAGGGTGAGAGGAGAGGGAAAGCAAAGAAGGTAAAGAGAAAGTGAAAAAAACAAAACAAAACAGAAAACAGAGCCAAAGAAATAAACAAGAAGAGATAGTGTACTAATCAAGAGTGAGCTGGTGGTCTCCCAAGCAGGTTAGGAGCTGGCATCTGGTGGCATGGGAGCCCTCCTGGTTTCTCCGTTTAACGTGGCTTGGGGATGCTAGGCATGGGCTGGGGATGTGGAGGTGTCAGAGTTTTGCCTCTTCTTGGTGGTTTTTCCTGCCAGGTGTATCTCCAGCATCTTTCCAAGAGTTTACTTTAGGAAGCACACTTTTTGCTTCCTCCCACTAGTTGCCATCTTAGAATCTGAGACTACAAATATATTTGAAAACATTTTCTTCAACCTAAAAGTTCATTATTTTCTTCTGATTTTATTTTATTATTTGTATTATTACTATTTTTTCTTTTTTGGTGAGGTTGGTGTTTGAATTCAGGGCTTCACACTTGCAAAGAAGGTGCTCTAGTGCTTGTGTCACACAGCACTGCTCTGGTTATTTTGGAGATGGGGGTTTCAGGAACTGTTTGCCCAGGCTGGCCTCATATCATGATCCTCTAGACCTCAGCTTCCCAAGTAGCTAAGATTACAGATGTGAGCTCTTCTGATTTTAAGAGAAATTAGAGACCAGAAGTAGCTCACTGGTAGACTGCTTGCCTAGCATGTGTGACACAATGGGTTCTATACCCAGCACCATCATTTTTTTTTCTTTGAACCATTTTTCTGGTCCCTAAAAGTATAGTGGGCCTCATGTGCTGTGCCTCCCATGCTCATAGGTAAGTTGGCCCAGCTACAAGTTCAATGCTTTTGAACCCAGACCTGACAAGAGGTATGTATGCAGTAGATCACCATTTAACAGTGCTTCTATCATACACTTAAATATGGTGAAAACACTAAATCTTTCATATATGTTTCTACCACAATAAAAAACCTTAAAAAGAAACAAGCCATGCTGTGGAGCTAATGAGTGGTGAAGCTGGGATCAGAAGCCAAGAAGTCTTACTCCATGATTATGGCTATGTCACCAAAGAAGGTTGGATATGAAAGCCCTTTGGAGGACAATACAAGCCAGAAGTTGAGGAAAAATGGAAATATGGACGATAATCCCCCACTTATAGAGCTTTGTTTCTTATCAATCATTCCTCTCAAGCAGCCAGAAGTGGTGAGAGCCATCCCAGGCCCAAGTTCCAGGAGAAATGGTTACAAGTTGAATCTAGTCTTCCAATCTGTGAGATTCTGCTCAATCCCCACTGTGTCTCAAGCTCCCTCCCTCTTACAAATAACATCTGATCTGCTGAGTTTGGGATGATTGCACAGGTCACAGGAGTTTATGGGTGTGTTTCAATGACCTACTACACAACAAACCACCCCCAAACCTAAAACCACTAGACTCACCTGGGCAGCTCTTTTGTTCCACATGTGTCAAAGAGGTGATCCTTGTGGCTGTAATCAGTTGGTAGCTCAGCTCAGGTTGATTTCACTCACATGTGTAATGCTTCGCTGGAGCTTCCAGAATGCCTTGAGGAATTGACTGGGTCTTTCTGTTTCTCCATGGCTCTCTAGCAGGGTAACCCAAGACAGTTGAAAGAAGCTGCCAAGCCTCATAAGGCCTAGATCCAGAACTGAAAGTCACTTGTATTACATTCTTTTGTTCAAAGCAAGTGATTTGACCAGCCATATTCAACACAATAGCCTAATGCTTTTTTTTTTTTCCTTCCTGTACTAGGGGATTGAACCCAGGGCCTTGTGTATGCTAGCTGTCAGAAGCTACATCCCCAGCTTCTGACAGCTTCTGACAGAAGAAACAGTTGTGCAAAGTAGGAAAGCTTATTGGTAGCCATATTTGCCAAAAATCCACACAGGGGGGTTCATAGGTGGAGATCAGAGTTCATCTGTCCCTCTACCAGAGTTAGAAAACTAAGAATTTTTTTGTGTGTGGGAGAACTGAGGTTTGAACTCAGGGCCCACATTCTAACAGTTGAACCATGCCCCCAGCCTTATTTTGCTTTAGTTTGTTTTTTAGGTGGGGTCACTCTGCCTTCGCATAGCTGAGATTATATGTGAGCCACCATGCATGACTAACAACTAATAATCTTATGAACTGTTTTTATCATAACACGAAATGCTACCACAAACAGCAAATGTTAAATGCTTATTATTATTAACCATTATTAATCTTTTAACAACTTTTTGAAATGGTGTAAGAAGATAGTACTGATTGTGTATCTAGTTTACAGGGATACTCATGGACCAGATGAATTTGAGGTATCTCCCAATCTTAACACCAGGATTCTTAGAGTTCCTTTTTACCAATATTGGGAACAGGTTTAGGATCTGCCTCAAGTCACACACTTAAGATAGTTAGCATGGTGAAATCCACATTCAAAGATGTCTCCTTCCTCTAAATATACTGGTTTTCATTCATTCATTTAACAAATAGTTCATTGTTTTGGCTATCTACTATGTATCTGAAGGAGTGTGTGTAAGCCTATAATGACAATTATTTACTGAATACAGCCTATGTAAGATTATGTCACTGAATCCTCATCAAAAACCTTTAATATAATCCCTTCCCCATTTTACAGTTGATAAGCAGAGCAAGGTAAAATAAAAGACAGGGTGTTACTTTCGTAGGAATTACACTCTATTAGAGAGGATATAGGATAGCCAAGTAAATAAATATATAATCACAAATAATTCTCAGTCCCTGCTACCTAGTTACCAACCCCTCTTTGCAGGATCAAGGTCTCAGGTGACCCCAGCAACTGGTCTTCCTGCCAATAGTAAAGATGGCGTGCAGAGAGCAGGCGAATTTCCACCCTCCTCCATTACCCACAATGCAGAGTGAGTAGGAGGAGCGGTTTCTGCCAGGAGTTGATATGGCTCCGTTAGTTACACTGTTCTCTCTCTTCACCTGATCAGGGACCTGACAACCCAGGCCAGGCTGTCCAGCAGGAGTTAAACCTCTGCCTCTCCGCTGACAGCGACTACAGGAGCAATTGAAGCTGCGCGACTCCCTGGAGGACTGAAAAGTCTGTAACCAGGGAAAGCACCACTTCCGCTGTCGTCATCACGGCGACACGTGGATCCAAGATGGCGGCGGCGATGGTGAGTGAAGGAGACTCCGGGAGTCGGAGCTAGAGCAGGGCCCTCTCGTGTATCCCAGGGCCTTCCGGCGCCTTTTGCCTGGTCCCGAGCCACCTTCAGGACCCCTGCTCAGGTTACTCCTCATAGGGCTCTCCTCTCACAAGGTCCCCCTCCCCGGCTGTGGCCTCACGCTCAGGCTTGTCAAGGCCCGGAGTTTTAGCGGAGGTGCCGCTTCGGAGGAAGACCTAGACTATTGCCTCCGCCGGTTCCCATTCCTACTTAGGTCCCCGCCCCCTGTCACCCCAACTTCCCAATTTTCACTTATCAGGCCTGGCCCCCTGCTAAGAACCCCGTTATTGCCACTCTCGCTACTCCCCCTCACGTCCAGCTCCTGCTCTCTCCGCCTCCCCACCATCCTGACCAGTCTGCATATGCGACCTCGCGTCAGACCAGCCTCTTAGCCTAAGCCCTGTCCTCACCTCCGCCCTCAGCTGTCCCTATAGCCTGTCTTTCTTGACTGCCGCAACCCCAGAGTGTGCCCTCCTCGACCTCACCCCCGGCTTCCATCCCCAGACCCTTCCCTACTCCTGTCTTTTTGCACTCAACCCCTTACCTCTCTCCTAGGGTTCTTATAGCTCAGTCGTTCTCAAACCTTACTGTGCGTAAGAATCGCGGGTTGTTTGCATGTTAAAATGCAGTTTTCTGAGCCTCGTTGCCAAAGATTCTAATTCTGTAGGGCTGGGCAGTGCCCAGGAATCTACACTTTGATAAACTGGTGATTATGATGGAGGTGGTCCGTGAACTATTTTTTTTGAAAAACCTCTCTAGTCCCACCTTGGCTGCTTCCCTTTACCTTTCCCCTTCAGGGCCACAGAGCCCCGTTGAAGGCTTTTTAGGATGAAGCTCCTTAAGGTGAAGTTTGTGTGGATGAGGGTGTGGCAGATTGGTCATAACTTGTTGGCGTCTGGTACAGAACCCGGGAAGTAAATCTTTGAAGGACTGGACCTTCTTTCAGAAGTTCCGCTCACATTCTGCTTGTCAAGAGACCAGAACGAAAATTGAAGTCACTTAGTCCAGTGTGATTTCTTGCAGATAATTTCATCTTGGGAGCTAGGCACCGGTGTCTCATGCCTGTAAACCTAGCTACTTGGGAAGCTGAGATTGGGAGGATTGTGGTTCCAGGCCAGCTGGGGCAAATAGTTCGGGAGACGCCATCTCCAAAATAATCAGAGCAAAGTGGACTGGAGGTGTGGCACAAGTGGTAAAGCACCTGCTTTGCAAGCGGGAAGTCTTGAGTTCAAATCTCAGTCCCACCAAAAAAAAAAGTTAAGAAGATGGATGCTGGTGATAGTTGGACAGTATTATCAATACCACTGAACTGAGAGTGAATGACAAGACTCAGAGAAAAGGATGTAACATTTGACTGTAGCAAAAGAAGATTCTTGCTTATGTTCTTTAGTTGGTTTTCTCCAAATGGGTAGATTTTGGATTGATAAAGGATTTCTTCCTATTAGCTGACTGATAGCTTTCGTTTATTTTTGTTTAATGAAGGATTCCTTATTTAGAACTTCAGAAGTCAGGGAAAAGATTTTATGGCCTGGGGCTGGGGATGTAGCTCAGTGGTAGAATCCTTGCCTAGCTTTTCACAACATCCTGAGTTTATTCCTCAGCACTACAAAAAAAAAAATTTTTTTTTCACAGCCTTATCTGATTTTTCCCAAAAGTGGGATGTTGAAACCACTTTATTCCTTTTCCATATTCAGAACAAGGATGATGTAAGGACAGGAAGTTATACCTTGTGTTGCCACCAGGAAAAAAAATTCAGTAGGGTGGCATTTATAGCCTTGCACTGGGAAATTTCAGCCCTGTTCGGAGATTTTTAGAGTTTATAAGTTAACAGTATGTATTTCTGGTACACATTTACTTAATCAGTAAATATTTGAGTGTCTACTTTGTGCCAGGAACTAGGGGTATGGTTGTGACTAACAGGGTCAAGGTCCCACCCTTGTGGAGCTTTTCTCATCTGAGACAGTGAACAATACATGAGTAAAATAATGTCAGATAGTGCTAAGTGCTGTGAAGACAGCAAGGTGAAGTGATAGTGATTGGGGGTGATTAGGTGATGTTGCTGCTTGGGATTAAGTGGCAGAGAAGTCTTCTTAGAGAAAGTGATATGAGTTGAGACTTGGTTCACAAGAAAGAACCAGCCTTGCCAAGGGTGTTCCAGACAAAGGAAATGGCAAATGTGAAGGCCAAGATAGAAGAGAGTTTGGTATGCTTGAGGGCCACTTGGAAGGCTAGAGGGGCTGAAGCACCATGAGAAGTGAAGTTAGGAGACAATGATACAGTATGAAATTGAAGGGAGGAAAAAGCAACCACATTTCTAGGAGCATGCCTATAATTGGGGTGGGTTGTAGCCACAGTTTATTGTCTGTGGACTGTATTTTGAAATAGATTATTCTGTTAGGCTGTTTTCTCTTCCTATTCCCCACAGGATAACCAATTAGGGGAGACAACTTATTCTTAGTCTGCAGATAGGCCGGGAAAAGCAGTTTGAGTTTTATTGAAAGTTCTGTGACTGAGTGTGTGTTGTGCTATCTGGGTTTGTTATACTGTGCTTCCATCCTGAAAACAGTAAGTTTAAGAAACAGAACATGTGATGGACACAGTGATCCATGGAGGCATATGAGGTGCATATGAGAAAGTACATGTTTAGTGGAATAGTGAAAAGATGTGGAAGCAAATTCATTACAAGGGCAATGTCTAACAGGCAGAGTGGAGTCACAGATGTGAGTTTGGTCTGTGTCAAGCACTTTATTACACAGAAGTCAGAACAGTCCCTGTACCTTTGTACACAGGTTATTTCACAATCATTGGTGGGAATATGTAGACCTAATTTGGGGTGTATAAGTTCCTAAGGCAAGTCATACAAACAAAAAAGAACTGAGCTAGTAAACTCAGTGACCATGGAAATAGGCTGGGTTTTTGGTATGTTCTTTTGTTTTGAAAGTTAGTTGTGAGTACAAACTTCAAAGGCTTTTCTCTCCTCCTCTTAACTTGGTGAATGGCTCCTCTTCCCCAAGGTTTGGGCTACTATCTCCAGATCACTGCACAACAAACAGTAGGTAGATCCTGATCCTTTAGGGCAAGACTACTCTCACTAGAGGAGAAGGTAGCTGGGAGTTTTCCTCCTGTCTGGATTTAGACTACCCTATAAAGTTACAGGATAGAGTTGATCTGGCTCTGTTCGAATTGAGAAGCAGGCTCATATTTCATTCTTATGGAAAACTGCTCTTGAGAATATTTTGGTGGAACTTGGAAAATGTCTATTGTACATTTGTAGCATTTCTTGAGTCTAGAAACTTCAGTTTAGAGAATAAAATTCTACTTCTCTCACATAGCTTTTTCATACTTTTGTTTTTAATTTTAGTTTTATTTTTATGGGTATAATTCATATACCCATCGTCACTCTAATTCCAGAACATTTTCATCACCCCAAAAGAAACATTAGCATTTACTCCCATTCTTCCCCTCTATGCAGCCCCTAGCAACCACTGACTTATTTTGTTTCTAAGGATTTGCTTTTTCTGAACATTTCATGTGTAGGGAATTTGCAATACCTGGTTATTTGTATCTAGTTTCTTTTACTTAACATAATGTTTTCATAGTTCATCCATGTTGTAACATGTATCAGTACTTCATTCCTTTTTATGACTAAATAATATTCCATTGTATGAATAGAGCACAATTTGTTTATCCATTCATCATTTGATGGTCATTGGGATTGTTCCCACTTATCAACTGTTGGCACATAATGCTCCTGTGAGCTTCGTGTGCATTTTTGTATGAACATGTGTTTAGTTTTCTAGGGTATATGCCTAGGAGTGGAATTGTTGGGTCAGTGCCCAGCTGTTTTGAGGTTACTTGGTTTAATGCAGTCTAGAGGCAAAGGAATGACATCAAAGTTCCTCTGTGCTGATGGAGGCCATACTAGCCAGTCTCCCCAGACTTACTTCAAAGACCAGGAAGGGTTTTTAGTGGTAGTATCTGGTGCTAACCACAGGACAGTTCCTGGGAGAGTCCTGGAATGTAAGAGAAGCTCCTCTGGACTTCATGGGCATCAGCTCACTGAGGAAGTAGCACTGGACAGGAGTCAGTAGTCTGGGCTTTTCCCAATGCTGACATTGATTTAACTTGTGGCCTGGGCAAGTTGCTTTCCTGGTCTGTTTTTCCACATATATCATATGTGAATTGAGATTTGGACCTCATAATTTCTAAATTCTAAGTTGAAAATTCTGTAGTCTAGAATACTTTCATTTAAGATGGAAGTATGCTAATATGAGATCAGATCTTGTTTTTTTTCCACAATCATAGTTGTGTGATCTTTCCAAATTTTTGTTTTGTGTTGGTTGTGTCACCTGTCTGATAGCCCATGTCCTTACCTAGCACACACTCTGTATGAATCACTTTGTTCCTGGAGCTGAGGTGCTGTCACCAGGCCTTGGTTAAATGTGTTTCTATGAGGAGTCCCTATAAAGGAATGTCCTAATCCCCCTAGGAAGTACAGAGGAGGCAGAGACAGCTTTAAGTTGCCTCTTGGTTTCCCTTTACAACTTGGACAAAAGTTCCCCTTTGATCTTGGCATTAAAGAAGCAGGTTGTAGATTGTTGGAGAAGATTGAGTTTTGATCTCTGGGCACTGGCAGGAAGGTGGGAAGGACCCAGGATGAGTGGAGCCATCTGGCCACAGATGAATGATAGGAGTCACCTACCGCCAAACCTGCTTTGATCCCTGGACCATTTGCTGACACTAGTGTTTCCCAAATGGGGAATGAACAGAGACACCTAGGACTTCTCAGTTCCGTCTCATTCCTCTTCATTGCTTCCTTCTGTGCCATCTTAACATTTCTCACCTGGCCTGGTGCATTAAACTGACAGACCTCCCAGGGTTTGAAAGCCAGGTTTAGGGCTCAGACTAAGAATCTGAGCTAGAAACCCAGCTCTGATATTCTGTTTACTTTT